GCTCGTGTACCGTAACTCCGTGTACAGACCCGTGTATAGAACCGTAACGCCGTGTACAGACCCGTAACGCCGTGTACAGACCCGTAACGCCGTGTACAGAACCGTAACTCCGTGTAGACCCGTAACTCCGTGTACAGACCCGTAACGCCGTGTACAGACCCGTAACGCCGTGTACAGAACCGTAACGCCGTGTACCAGACCCGTAACGCCGTGTACAGACCCAACGCCGTGTACAGACCCGCAACGCCGTGTACAGACCCGTAACGCCGTGTACAGACCCGTAACGCCGTGTACAGCCGTAACGCCGTGTACAGAACCGTAACGCCGTGTACAGAACCGTAACGCCGTGTACAGACCCGTAACGCCGTGTACAGAACCGTAACGCCGTGTACAGACCCGTAACGCCGTGTACAGACCCGTAACGCCGTGTACAGAACCGTAACGCCGTGTACAGACCCGTAACGCCGTGTACAGACCCGCAACTCCGTGTACAGACCCGCAACGCCGTACAGAACCGTAACTCCGTGTACAGAACCGTAACTCCGTGTACAGACCCGTAACTCCGTGTACAGACCCGTAACGCCGTGTACAGAACCGCACTAACATCAGCATTACATCCTCTCCTTCGCTCAGTACGGACAAGCTGGACGGTGGCTTGTGCTTGCCTTAGTCCCCCCAAACTGTTACCTAGCTGGACCCGTTTCCTCTCTCTCTCTCTCTCTCTCTCTCTCTCTCTCTCTCTCTCTCTCTCTCTCTCTCTCTCACGTCTCTAACAATGAGAACTCAAGTGATATAAATTGAAAATATAATGAGAGAAGGAGAGAATTGATGTTTGATGTTATAGTATATTTCTGAGAGAGAGAGAGAGAGAGAGAGAGAGAGACTCTTACCGACTGACTGATTGAGAGCGCACAGTCACCACCACCAACTCCGCTCCTAGCAATTGCGTGTAATTTAAGGCAACATTTTCTTCTTCAGGTTCACTACTCACTTTCATGTCATACTGGCAGTGAACAGTGACATCACCCACATGACTCTGACCTATATACACTGTTAATGAATATGATGTATTTCATTGTGTATGAACCTCTGTCCTGCATGGCAGTGAACAGTGACATCACCCACATGACTCTGACCTATATACACTGTTAATGAATATGATGTATTTCTTTGTGTATGAACCTCTGTCCTGCATGGCAGTGAACAGTGACATCACCCACATGACTCTGACCTATATATACTGTTAATGAATATGATGTATTTCTTTGTGTATGAACCTCTGTCCTGCGTGGCAGTGAGAAGTGATACCACGCTCAGTGTCAAGACCTGACTGAATTACTCAGAATAGGGAGGTATTATTAGCCCCTGTCTCATGGCAATAACAATTATATAAAGTTTGGTTAATGCATTTAGTTTATATAATACAATCACCCCACGGTAATTTTCCATAAGCTGTGAGCTGCCATGTGCAGTTCATGTGGCTCCCAGTAATTGATTTTAGGCGCATCAATGAAAATACTCTCCCAGATAGGTACTCAATTCCTGTCTTGAGTGATATTTTACAATCCTTAGGCAAGGATAATGCTGTATTTAGCAACCTTGATTTGCTTAGCGGTTATTGGCAAATACCTCTGGATGAAAAATCTCGAGAGATTGCTGCTTTTAGTACTCCTTTGGGCCATTTTGAATTTCTGAGGATGTCTTTCGGTCTCAGAAATGCCCCACTGACTTTTCAAAGGATGATCAGCACCTTGTTTGCAGGGTTGATAGGGACCACAGTATGTGCCTACTTAGATGATCTCATCGTAGTCAGTAAGGATGTAGGTACGAATAATGCTAAACTCCGTGAAGTTTTCCAAAAACTTTCTACAGCAGGACTCAAAGTCAAACTTTCTAAATGTGAATCTTTAAAATCAAGAATCCAACTCCTTGGTCATGTAGTTGACGGTAACGGCATTCATACAGTTGATGACAAAGTTAAGGCTGTTGCCCAGTTCCCACGTCTTACAACTGCTGATAAAGTACATAGTTTTCTTGGTTTGTCGGGATATTATCGTTCTTTTCTTAAAGTTTATGCGACATTAGCTTCAACCTTGACTTAGCTACTTAGGAAGGATGCAACTTTTGTATGCGATGCTGAGCAAGAAGATAGTTTTAGTGCATTGAAGACAGCACTTACCAATGCCCCTGTTTTAGCATTTCCTGATTACTCTCAAGAATTTACTCTGTGTACCGACACCTCAATACAGGGAATCGGCGCTGTACTTTTGCAGCTGGACGCACGAGTTAAAAAATATAAATTGGTTGCTAAACTTAATGATGCCGAAACACGTTATTCAGTAACGCATCTAGAAACGTTAGCTGTTGTTTGGGCACTGAAGAAGTTTAGAGACATAATTTTTGGTTATAAAATAACCGTCTATACAGATCACGTGGCAGTGACAGAGCTGTTCCACGGCAAAAATCTTTCAGGTAGACTAACACGCTGGTATCTGACCATTCAAGAGTTTGAACCCGAGTTCAAGTATTTACAGGGACGAGCGAATGTGATCGCAGACGCTTTGTCCAGAAACATAGCACCAGTGATGCCTCTATCATCGTTCTCCCACTCGCAAGTAAGGGATGAACAACGACTCGATCCATTGGTGTCTACTGTCATTTTCGCGCTAGAGTCGGGGGAGGAGACTAATCTTCCAAAGTTACCTCTTCCGTTCAATCAATTTGAACTACAGCGAGACATACTCCTTCGCTCCAAGCAGACAACTGAAGGTATTGGTGCACAAATTGTCGTACCTGATACACTTCGTGAGACGATACTAGTGTTGTATCACGATGCTCCCCAAGCAGGCCACCCCGGACGTGAGAAATGTCTGGCGGAGGTCAGAAAGAAGTATTTTTGGAATACTATGAAGAAAGACATAGAATTGCATATTGCTAAGTGTTTGTCATGTGCTCAACATAAGGGTACTACAAGGGCACCGGCTCCAATACTACAATATCCTACACCAGACCGCCCGTTTGACACAGTCGCGGTCGACTTGTTACAACTTCCGAGGAGTCATCAGGGATCCTTGTACGTCCTGGTGTGTGTGGATCATTGTTCTAGATTTGTGGTTTTGGTCCCATTGAAGGATAACACAGCCGAATCTGTGGCTTATACTTTAGTTATTCACCTCATATGTCCTTTTACTACGCCCAAGGTTCTTCTCTCCGATAACGGATTAGAGTTCAAGAACCAACTTGTAGCGCAAATATGTCGACAATATGACATCCAACAAAGTTTTATCGCAGCCTATCATCCACAGGCTAATGGCCTTGTTGAAAGAACCAATCGGAAAATACTAGAGATTCTTCGTCCAATAGCTAGTCAAATGCATTATGCGTGGGAGGATTGGTTACCGCAAGTCGCCGCATCTATTAATGGGTCGATCAACAGCTCTCAGGCAAATCACCCTATTATATTGGTTACGGCATAGACAAACGTCTACCGTATGGCGTACTTACAGACAAGCCATGCCCAGTCTATAATGTGGACGATCTCGCTACCAGGCAAATCAACGTATGCACGGATATTCATGGCCAAGTACGTAAACATTTAGCAGCGTCACGCGCTGAAATGATATACAAGCAACATAAACAAGCTAAGCCTGTCATGCTAGAAATAGGCGATGCTGTTATGGTGCGAGAACCTGAACGAAAGTCCAAGCTTTCACCCAAGTTTGAGGGACCATTCCGCATTATTGCTAAAGAAGCGTGCAACAAATTTAAAATTTTTAAGCCAAACTCACAAACTTCAGATGTTGTGCATGAGGACAGAATTAAAAAGGTCCATTCAGATTCATTCCCCAGGAATGTTAATGATATACCAGACATTGGTGTCCCAGACACAACTGTTCAAACAGCACACACGTCAAATACGCCCAGTGTATCTGATGATTATTGTTTAAAACTACGTTCTGCGAAACGTACATAATAATGTTCCTGGCATTTTTGCAATGATATTAACACGAAAAGATTTCTGAGTCTAATCAGTTACTTAAATTTTTATAATTTCATGAATTCAGTGCCTACACTGGAATGATTCAATTCTTTTTCCAAGCATTTTGCATGCTACAAAAACTTCAACTCAAGCTTTATCAATTGCAGGGTTAGGACGAGTGGATGCACAGCCCGTGTATGTGAAAATTCTTCTTGAAGCCTTACAAATAGCCAAGACGAGTTATCTGTTAACTCCACTTTTCACAGACAGAGGTAGAATAGTATATCCTTCTGTTGGAGTCAACTCTCATGCACTATGCTTTTCCTCGTCCACGTAAAAATGCTAGTGCAAAGCAAATTAATGCATGACACCTTCGCCACGGTAATTTTCCATAATCTGTGAGCTGCCATGTGCTGTTCACGTGAGGGGAAATTCCTCTATCAGTAGGCCGACCTTGAGAATGTAGGGTCATCCCAGCCTCTCCTTCAGAGCCTCCCCTCACGAGCACCAGTCCTCACTTGAAGCTCACGAGAAGAGGACGGGTGACCTAACTCAGTCAAGCTGAGCCCCCGTCCTGAACTGACACTCACAGCTTACAGTGTTAATTACGGTACATCCACTAATAGACTGTGACCAATATAGCAATAAATGGAGGAAAGACCATTTTGGGTTTGTAACTTAACCCCTCAACTTATTTATATATAAGCCAAGTTAAAGGGAACTCTACCCAAAGCTTATATAGGGAAACTGTACTCCAAGCTGTGTCAGTAAATTTGTTAAACTAAAACTGGCTGTTGTTTCTCGTTATATAACACAAATAGGTCCAGTGTTTTATTATTATTATTATTATTATTATTCATCCTTTCAGTGCATAATAGGCAGGTTATACATGTCTGCATTTACTTTGACTGTAGTGTCAATGGTGACAACATTATTCGTTCATATATGTATATTTTCAACCACTTCTCAGCCACGGTGATAATAATTGAGCTAATGTGATTTATTTTGTTGTTGTGACCAGAGTGAGCGAGTTGCTGGCTGTAGTGAGCGTCACATCCACCTGCATGCTGTTTATCCACACGAGCAGCCTACAGTCCCAGCTGGCTGTGTACACCAACAACATAGACCATTCCCTCACCGCCCACCACCCCAACAGTCAGTATCAACAGCCTGTAAAGCTTCCATTAACTTTTCCACACTTCATTTAGTTAAGATTTCTCATTTGTATGATTTTATAACGTATAAACAGCACTACGCTTAAATAACTAATGTATTAAGAGCTTATTTTGTCATCAAGAATTAAAAGTTTAGAAAGAGAGTTATAGATTTGGCTGTTTAAAGGATTAAGTTAATATAAATAGAATGTAAATTGTGTTATGTGTAATTATTGACTAATGGAACCGTAGATAAGCTGAAGGCATTGGTGGTCATTTAAATAATTATAAACTTAAAATTGCATTCTCTAGAAATTGTACTGTATTTATTCATTTATATTACAATACAGTTTTCTTGTATCTTGTATTATATTGTAGCACTTGATATAATTGTACTGTATTCATTCATTTGTCAGCTTATAGTTATTGTTACCTCATTGTTCCAGGTTATTTTGGTTCTGCCGTCGATGAACCCGAAGGCTCCTCCCGCCACAAATCAAAATTCGGTGGTTATGATTTGGATGAATTCCGAAATGTAAGTATATTATTATCTACCATATTTTTATATCCTATACTATTTAAGGAGGGGTTTAGCGGGTTTAAAATGAGATTGACTTTAAATTTTAGAAACAGCCGGACCACTTTGGAGAGGTGTTACGCTTTGGGGTTTAAAGGCAAGTATGTAGGGGCAGCCTTGTCAACAAACACATTCTGTACTAGTTTTATCTTGGACTGTATACAGACATGCAGTAAAAATATGTTTGTCTGTCTGTGCCTTTCTTTCTGTGTTTATTTGTGTTGACTTAAGCGTGATAATTCCTGTTTGGAATTTACTTTTCATAATATTTGTTAGGAAGGTTCTGGTGGGGAAGTCTTGAATGGGGTGTTACCTGAGGTGTCATCCAAAGAAATATTGAGACCATGAAAGGTGTATTGGCCATTATATATTAAGGTATGCAGTACAGTAGTTTTTGGATAGCTTCTTTTAATAAGTACATTATATGAACAAAAATGTTGTTATTTTATGAAACACTCGTCCACAGATTGACCCTAAAACACTGAATAACACAGTTCATCACCACAAGATGACTCTGGTGTTCAACCGTGTTCCCAAGGTAGGGAGCCAGAGCACCATGGAACTACTCCGCAGCCTCAGCTATAAGAACGGTTTCACCTTCCACAAGGATCGTCCGCAGAAAGTTGAAAATATTAAACTTACCGAAAGGGAACAGGTAAGATACATAAATACTTTTCCATATACACGTTAAAACACTAATTAATCTTATACTTTTTTTTTTTTACTTTTAATGATACTTAACCGTTTGAAGACGATGATTTAACCCTTCAAAGCTTCAAGGGGTTAAAGAAATAGTTTTAGTATTGAGGATAATGTTAGTATCAAGCACCACCACTATGATAATGTAATGACTGTAATTCTATAAGGATTGGGGACAGTACTGTACCTAAGTCTGTAGTAATACTAATACAGTATATCTATCACCTATAAATTACTGTACCTGTACATTATACCTAAATCTGTGTTTGTACTGGTGCAATATTTATATCACCACTACTGTAGGTTAGGTCAGCATTTTTATCAGTAATATGTGATTAATTTTAATAAGTATGTTGTTAATTATCTAAGTCAAGGCGCCATATTTATGACTTACTACATTTCTATACCTGTAATCTAACCATAAATATAAAGATGTATAAATATTTTGATTATACATAACTGGTAGTGTGTGGTACAACTGGTAGTGTGTGTGGTACAACTGGTAGTGTGTGGTACAACTGGTAGTGTGTGGTGCAACTGGTAGTATGTGTGGTACAACTGGTAGTGTGTGGTACAACTGGTAGTGTGTGGTACAACTGGTAGTGTGTGGTACAACTGGTAGTGTGTGTGTGGTACAACTGGTAGTGTGTGTGGTACAACTGGTAGTATGTGTGGTACAACTGGTAGTGTGTGGTACAACTGGTAGTGTGTGTGGTACAACTGGTAGTGTGTGTGGTACAACTGGTAGTGTGTGTGGTACAACTGGTAGTGTGTGTGAGTACTACTGGTAGTGTGTGTGTGGTACAACTGGTAGTGTGTGGTACAACTGGTAGTGTGTGGTACAACTGGTAGTGTGTGTGGTACAACTGGTAGTGTGTGGTACAACTGGTAGTGTGTGGTACAACTGGTAGTGTGTGGTACAACTGGTAGTTTGTGGTACAACTGGTAGTGTGTGGTACAACTGGTAGTGTGTGGTACAACTAATAATGATAATAATAATAATAATTAACGGTTTATTGAAAAGAGCTTGGCAGCCAGAAGGCTGAAAATATACAGTTATATATTTGGGGAATGGGTTTCGAATTACAAATAATATACAAGTAACATAAGTGACACAAATAAGATATTAATAACTAGATGGGGAAAAGCTCAAACTACAGGGCATTTCAACATAGTGACAGTGCAAAAGTAGTATTTACTGGGAGGAATACACTGGTTATTACAAGTTATTGATAATTTTACAATGGAGCGAATCAGTTCGTGCACGTATGGGCTGGATGCGCATACGTGCACGAACTGATCGCTCATAGAACAACTGGTGTGTGTGTGTACAACTGGTAGTGTGTGTATGGTACAACTGGTAGTGTGGTACAACTGGTAGGTGTGTGTGGTACAACTGGTAGTGTGTGTGGTACAACTGTAGTGTGATACAACTGGTAGTGTGTGTGTGGTACAACTGGTAGTGTGTGTGTGGTACAACTGGTAGTGTGTGGTACAACTGGTAGTGTGTGTGGTACAACTGGTAGTGTGTGTGGTACAACTGGTAGTGTGTGTGATACAACTGGTAGTGTGTGGTACAACTGGTAGTGTGTGGTACAACTGGTAGTGTGTGGTACAACTGGTAGTGTGTGTGTGTGGTACAACTGGTAGTGTGTGTGTGGTACAACTGGTAGTGTGTGTGGTACAACTGGTAGTGTGTGGTACAACTGGTAGTGTGTGGTACAACTGGTAGTGTGTGTGTACAACTGGTAGTGTGTGGTACAACTGGTAGTGTGTGTGGTACAACTGGTAGTGTGTGGTACAAGTGTGTGGTACAACTGGTAGTGTGTGGTACAACTGGTAATGTGTGTGGTACAACTGGTAGTGTGTGGTACAACTGGTAGTGTGTGGTACAACTGGTAGTGTGTGGTACAACTGGTAATGTGTGTGGTACAACTGGTAGTGTGTGGTGCAACTGGTAGTGTGTGGTACAACTGGTAGTGTGTGTGTGGCATATATGCAGTGTGTGTGTGTGTGTGCGAGAGTATACTGTTCAGGTGTGGTACAATAGTAACCTAACTCTTGGTACCAACAGAGGCGCCTGGTACAGCTAGTTGACGTGTTCCGTCCACCGTCAGTCTACGTCAAGCACGTCTGCTACATGAACTTCACCACGTTAGTACCTTAGCAGTCACACACCTGTTTTATAATGTATCCTGTTAGTCATAAACAAGAGTACTGGTAAATTCCTCTCTCTTGCTTCCAGTGTCAAGATTTTATTGCAGTATCTTATAGCATTTTGATCTAAAGGGGATAGGACTCTCACACAAAGGAGAAAAGTAGAGGATTGTACTCTGCTGTAATGTCAACTAACACTTTTGGCGATGGAATTGAAAACTGAGCATTAGTCTGGTATCTGTAAACAGGGTCACAAGATTTTCAGCTGTAAATGTCCCAGTGGCATGATTTGTGAATTTAGGATATGAGTAAACGTCCTGGTGTTCAATAGTGCATACAATACCTACTTATTGTCTTGGTTTTTTCATGTTATTTTCCTTTCTTATCTTGCACTACTTTCTCCCATTGCTTCTAATTATTTGATATCGCTCAGCACCATAGGATGTAGTATAGTATATCCTTTCATTACCTATAGATAACTTCATATGGCTTAGATAATTAAATAATCTACAGTACAATATCTTAACTATTTTATGTCTCTTGTACTCCAATACTGAAAGAATAATTTAAGGTCATCTCTTCAGGTATAATTTAACACAACCGATCTACGTTAACATGGTCCGTGACCCAGTGGAGCGCGTTATCTCCTGGTACTACTACGTGAGAGCCCCTTGGTACTTTGTGGAACGCAAACAGGCATTCCCAGAGTTGCCTTTGCCTTCTGCTGCCTGGCTTCGAAAGGTAAGTTGCTGCACGGAGGTATTCTTAGTACTGGGCATTTAATCTGTAAGTACATGGTGTGATAAGTTTCCTATATCCTCTTATTTTCCATTAGTTCCCATCATCTTACCCTAACTGTCTCTGTTACTCATTAATATTCATAAGGGACCTCTCAGGCACAACCAACCCCAATGGTAACGTAGCTAATGGTTCCAGTATTCACTCCTTCTATGAATGCCAATCAGCGCTGTTCATCGTTCACTAAAGTCTGACCTGCATTTCACCTTCACTTGGGACTCCAATAACCTCAGATTTTTCTATCAAAATAATCACACCTTGATGCCTCACTCCTTCAGAAATCTACCACTACATACCTCCCTCATTCTCTCTTATTTGCCTTATCCCCTCCCTAATTCTCTCTTATTTGCCTTATCCTCTCCCTCATACTCTCTTATTTACCTTATCTCCTCCGTTGTTTTATTTTTAATGTGTTTTTATACAACTATTTCTCATTTCTTGCTCCTCTATTGTTCGTCTTGTTTACTCTCTCCTCTCTTCACCTTGTACACCATTTACACCCACTGTATTTTCTGTCATTCTAAACAACTCGTGTATACAGTACTTGTCTTTACCCTCTACCCAACATGTAGGCTTCAAGTAACTTATCTCAGGAGTTTAGGTTTTATTACACCAGTCAAACTTAAATATCACTTGATCACTGTACATGTCCCGGTATTATTTTAATCTTCAACTTCCTACTATGTCATTCTCCATCATTAAACTGTATTGTAATTTATAATAATTTAATTTGTTGGTCCGTTTTCCATTATTTACTACAGTACTGTATTTCGAATGGATTTCTCTGAATTCTCAAAAGCCCTCTCTATAATGACTGTGCCATATACTGTACTTTCAACTTCACACCCATTCAGAGTTATTCATCATTTTCATCCATTCTTGTTCGCTCTCTGCAAAAAAACCACCGCATCATCCACATCCCACTCTCCAGCTCTGCTTATGTTCCTGCCTGTCACGCTTGCTTTCATTTCACTTACACCTCAGTCCATAAATATGTTGAATAACCATGAGGGCACCACACACCCCTGTCTCCCTCTCACTTTCACCTCAGAACTCTCACATGAGCCCGACAATTACTCTCTCATACACAGTACTGTACTTATCAAACACTTTTCCTCTTATTGAATAAATCTTCTCAGCTTCCCACACTACCCCTTCATCCACCCTGTCATAAGCCTTCACCCAGATCCCTAAACTCTATACAGTACTATACAGTCTATTATTTTTCGACAAGCAATTTAACTAAAAATATCTGGTCATCATTACTCCATTCTTTTCTAGATGTTCTCTTCACCTTTATCTATGTCTTCCTGTTCTTGGGTTAGTACAAGTTAATTATAACCTGTGACCTTCCTCACTCTGTCTTCATACTGTATCTCTTGTCCATCTTTTAGGTCGTGTTTTTTTTTTTTTTTTTACGGGGAACAGGCCACCCGGGCACAGGTCAACGACCCACAACGGGGCCTGGGGGGCGAAAAATATGAATAGAAAGAAATTAAAAATAGAAAAGGAAAAGGTTGTATTATCTATACCACGAAGATGACGGAAACCAGCTTTTTTAAGTGAGATTATTTGTTTGAGTGTGGAAACACAGAAGAAGGCAGAGCATTCCACAGTTTGGCTGTGTGAGGAAAGAAGGAGGTACTGTAACGGGCTATTGTAGTGTGAAAGACATCCACAGAGAAACGGTGGGCACCTCGGGCAAGACGTGTGTTACGAGCCCACGACCTTGCCGGCGGTACACAGGATGCCAAATCCACCGAACATTGCTCGCTAAAGTACCTGTAAAAGAGAGAAAGTGAAGCAACATTGCGGCGAAGCGAAAGGGAAGAAAGATTAACAACTAAAGGAGGAGAGTTACTAAGACGAAATGCCTTTGATTCCACCCTATCTAACAGTTGGACAGAAGAAGAGCCACCCCAGATTTGAGAGCAGTACTCCAAGTTAGGACTAATGAATACCTTTTATACTTGAAGCAACTGCTCAGGAGTGAAGTAGCTAAGGCATCTGCACAGCATTCCCAGCTTTCGAGAGGCAGCTTTAGCAATGTTGAGGATGTGTGGCTTCCACGACATATTAGAGGAAATGGTGAGGCCAAGCATATCTATTTTAGAATTTGGCAGAATGATTGCGTCCTGAAATGTTAATTTGGTGGGAGATCATCTAATTTAGAAAGTGTAATTGGTAAATACTGAATTTTATTACTATTGAATTTAACCAAGTTTGTACCTCCCCATTCAGAGATGCTGCACAGATCCGCATTGATAGAAGTAATGATATCAGCTCTAGAAACAGATCTAGTTTGAGAGTTAGGAGGAAGGGGAAAATGTGAAGAAGAGTGAAGAGTAGAATCATCAGTGTAAGAATGGATAGAATTAGTTGTAGTGTGAAGTAAATCATTGATAAAAAGAAGGAAGAGAGTAGGTGAAAGAACAGAACCCTGTGGGACACCACTATTGGTAGAGAAAGAGCGAGAGATCGATCCCTCGACAACAACTGCCATGGATCGGTTCTCAAGGAAGCGAGAAATTAGAGAACAAAGTGGAGGAGAGAAACCATAAGAGGGAAGTTTAGAAAGCAAAGACTTGTGCCATACCCTGTCAAATGCTTTGGAGATGTCGAGGGCCACGACGAAAGTTTCCCCATAATCCCTAAGAGAGGATGACCAAAGATGGGTGCAGTAGGAGAGCAGATCACCAGTAGATCTCGCCTGGCGAAAGCCATACTGGTGATCCGACAAAAGAGAAAGGCGTTCAAGGTGACGGAGAAAATGGGAGTTCAAGATAGTTTCGAAAATCTTAGAGAGGGACGATAGTTAGAGGGATTCGTATGACCACCCTTCTTTGGGATGTGCTGAACCAAGGCATGCTTCCAAGAAGAAGGAAAAGTTTGGGTTTTGAGGCAAAGGCGAAAGAGGCGAGCAAGCACAGGGGCCAGAATGTCGGCACACTCCCTCAGAACACGAGGGGGGTATTCCGTCCGGTCCATGCGCCTTACTCACATCCAAACCTGGATAACACACCAGCAACCCTACGAGTGGAGATTATAGGAAAGTGCATAGGTTCAGTAGGAGGAGCAGAGGTAGAAGGGGTAGAGTTGGAATCGCCTAAGGTGGAGTTAGAGGAGAATAAGGTGCCAAAGAGATTGGGTTTGTCAGGGGGAGAGTTGGCTATAGAGTTATCAGGTCGGAAGAGAGGAGGAAAAGAAGGAGTGCAGAAGTTATTACAGATGTTTTTGGTTAAGGACCAGAAGGATTTACTAGAGGAAGAATTAGTCAGGACAGCGGACTTTCTTTTTATAAAGTTCTGCTTGGCCCAACTCAGAATAACCTTACAACGATTCCTAGAAGTAATGAAGGAGGTGTGGGTAATAGGAGAAGATAGTTTCATAGCTTGATATGCCCTATCTCTCTCCCTGCATGCAAGAGAACAGGAGCGATCAAACCATGATTGTAAACTGAAAATTTTGGTGGAAGATGGGATAACTGCACTCATACCACCCTGTATAACCCCAGTGGAAAAGCAACATTCATCCCAAGGAAAGAATTCTAGCAAGGATTGCCAGCTTGCCCTCTGATAGTTCCATAGTTGACGTTTAGAGGGGGGTGGGGGTGGTGGTCGTGCCCAGTTTGACTTAATGGAAATAAGGTTGTGATCAGAAGACCCTAATGGGGCAGAAATTGAGTATGAATAGTGTGAGGGGTTAGAGGTAAAACAACGATAAAAAAATGGTAGTAAGTTGGTCGCGTCGATCAGAAACACGTGTAGGGTGTTTGACTATTTGTTCCAGATCATTAAGTAAGGAAAAGGAGAGTGCCTCAGCTCCACCTGGGTCATCCCCTGCAGAGCCAAGCCACTCTCTGTGATGTATATGAAAGTCCCCTAGGTAGAGGATCTCGGTGTTGGGGTGTGTGGATAGCAACGGCTCATGGCAAGAAGTGAGATAGTCAAATAGTTGGTAGAGTTGGGAGAACAGTATAGGAGACAAAGAAAAATAGTCACAGTAGGTAGAGATATTTTGAGCCAGATGACATCATAAAGGGAAGATTCAAGATCCGTGAGTCGAGCTATAGGTGTACGTGTGTTGCAGTAGGCGCATACACCTCCCTTAGAACGGAAGGAGGTATAAAGGTTGTAGTTGGAGACTTGAAGAGGTTTGGGTGAAGCTGCTTTGGACAGTTGAAGTTCGGAGAGTAGTAAGAGGTCGGGGGAAGAAAATTGGAGGACAATTTGATCTCAGGCCGCGAATGTTGGAAAAATTAAGTGTGAAAAAGCCGACCCTCCAGCAACCGCGGTGGCGTCAGTTGAGACCCTGGTAGTTTGATGATGATCAGGTCGGCCCTGGGGTCCACAACCTTCCCGACCAGTGGGACCCATCAATCCATATCATTTCATGGGCTCAAGGTTGAAGAAGCCACAAGTCCAGAAAACTGTGAGGGCAAACTTTGTCACAGTGAGAGTTAGTTGTGAACTCTTGGAACAATCTGCCAAAGAGTGTTGTGACGGCACTGAGTATGAGTTCTTTCAAGACCAGACTTGACCAACACTGGAGCAGGTTCATATACATTCAGGAGCCAGTGGATACCCAGTATTTGCCAATAGTGCGTAACAGGCGTGACCGACCGCCCAAGTGACTAACGAGCCGATCAGTGGCGAAGAGAATAAAAGTGAAAGTATGACAAGGATTACCGCCACTGACACCAACTAGACAAGTAATGCTTGCTTCTAGTACAGTCCTTATGCCAGCAGCATCTGTGTTCTTAAGGCCAGGTGGTCACCCATCCCAGTCCATTACTGTACTAATCAGACCCAACGTTGCTTAACTTCACTGATCGGTCAAGAAGTAGTGTTTACAACGTGATACACACAACAAAAATCTGGGCATGTAAATTTCTTTCAAAAATTTGTCAGGCAAGTGAAAAAATTTCAAATTTCAAGTAAATG